TTCCTTCCTTCCTTCCTTCCTTCCTTCCTTCCTTCCTTCCTTCCTTCCTTCCTTTCTTCCTTCCTTCCTTCCTTCCTTTCTTCCTTCCTTCCTTCCTTCCTTCTTCCTTGCTTCCTTCATTCAACAGACACTCATTGGCTATGAATCCTGCAGCAGTTCCTGTGCTAGGTACCAGAGGCATGAGAAAGCATAAGACCGGCTTCCTGCCCTGAGGGTTCAGTGGAAAGAGGCCTGTATGTGATGTTGGAAAACCTGAGTTCAAGTCTTCCTTTTGCCTCAGTTTGGGATCTCACAAAGGACATTTTATTTGCTTCAGAGTCTCAGTTTCCCAAATCATTAATGAATACAAACACTTATTCTCCTCCTGTGATAATTATAAAAAACCTGGGTCAAGATATTCAAGATTCCAGGAGAAAGGAAGATTAGCTATACCTGATGGGCAGGTAAGATAGACTGTGTCCTTGTCACTGCAGTTGAATAAAAGGATGGACAAAGAGACCCACACACTCAGACCAGATTGACAAATTGATGGTATCTAGTCGTTTGTTCAAGAAGTTTGAGTTGAGGGGTGCCTGGGTGGTTCAGTCAGTTAAGTGTCCGACTCTTGACTTCAGCTCAGGTCATGATCTCATGGTTTGTGAGTGCCAGCCCCACGTTGGGCTACAGAGCCTGCTGGGGATTCTCTCTCTCTGCTCCTCCTCTGCTTGTGCGTGATTCTCTCTCCCCCTCTCTCTGCTCCTCTCCTGCTCATGCATCAGGTCCTGAGTTAGGAGCTGGGAGAGGGAGAGATGGACAACACGGTCACCCTTCCTGATGTCACCAGAAAAGGCCAACGAGAACTATAACACAGTGTGAAATGGAGGCGATTCAGAAGTATAGGATGCTTGCCATGGGAGGGCAGGGGAGAGGTCTGCAACCAGGATTCAAGGAGATCAGGAAGGGCTTTACAGGAAAAGGGATGTGTAAGCTGAGACCTGAGTGATTGGGAATTAGGTGGACAAAAGAGGTGGGGGTGGTGGGTGTTTCAGGCAGAAGGACTATGTGTGAATGTCCCAAAGACAGAGAGAGCATGGGCACAAGAAGCATAGAAATAATTCCATTTTGCTGCAAGGAGGGAAGTTGAGAGAAATGAGACAGGTAGACAAGGGCCATTGCTTGTACATGAACCTTTATCCTACGGGCAAAGAGGAACCGTTGAAGGCTTTTTAAAAAAATGTTTTTAGTTCTGATTTCACGCCCCACAAACATATATAACGTAGAGTGAATGCTCCCCGTAACACTTCTCTTACTCCAACACTGTTGAAAGTTTGGTGCATGTCCTCTCAGCTTCCAATCAATCCATTATTAATATTAATTACATTTATAAAAGTAGAGCCATTCTAGACCTGCTGTGTTATAATTTTTTTTGTCCTTAGCAATATATGGATATCTTTCTATGATAGTACATATCTACCTGTTCTTTTTTTAAATTTACATCCAAGTTAGTTAACATATAGTGTAGTAATGATTTCAGGAATAGAATTTAGTGATGCATCACTTAAAGATAACACCCAGTACTCATCCCACCAAGTGCCCTCCTTAATGCCCTTTGCCCATCCCCCCAACCCAACACCTACCTGCTCATTTTTATTTTTATTATTAATGTTTATTTATTCTTGAAAGAGAGACAGAGCATGAGCAAGGGAGGGGCAGAAAGAGAGGGAGACACAGAATTGGAAGCAGGCTCCAGGCTCTGAGCTGTCAGCACAGACCCCAACACAGGGCTCGAACTCACAAGGCGTGAGATCATGACCTGACTTGAAGTCAGACGCTTAACCAACTGAGCCACCCAGGCACCTCATACCTGCTCGTTTTTAAATGACGGCATGATATCCCATCATGGCAAGGCTGTTTCATTGCTTGTTTTGTTTTGTGGTAAAAAATATGTTAAACATTTTAAAAAATTGGGGCACCTGGGTGGCTCAGTCTGACTTTGGCTCAGATCATGATCTCGTGGTTTGTGAACTCGAGCCCCGCGTCAGGCTCTGTGCTGACAGCTCAGAGCTTGAAGCCCACTTCATTCTGTGTCTCCCTCTCTCTGCACCCCACCCTCAAGAACAAATGTTAAAAAAAAAAAAAAAGAAAACATTCAAGAGATACTGGGATTTTCAAAATCTATAAGCGTTTGGCATGAATCTAAATATTTGTTCTCTACTCTATCCCCACTAATAGTGTATGAAAATACCAATTCTCCATGCTCTTGCCGATATGGGCTACTAAAATTTTTTTCAGGAACAGATTTTATTAAATGTAGAATAGAAATAAAAGTATTTTCTTACAAACACTAACATTTGGAAGTGTATATAAATCAATAATTCCTTGCGCGGATATGTGGCACTTTCAAAACCCAGCCACATTCACATTTGCAGGAGCAACCCAAGTTTGTGAAGACTTCTTCCCTTGATAACAAGTGCTTGGGAAAAACTTTGTTGTGGCCACATCTAGTAGAGCCCTTTTCTATTTAATTTTAGAAGGAATGGCTAGGAACAGCTAAGCTGTATTGAGGTATTGAGTGCTACTGTGTGCCAAATACTATGGTGTTATCCACAAATGATCATGTTTAATCTTCGCAAAAAATGCTTCTCCACTGCAGTAGGGGTGAATTAGGCCTGAACCTCACAGGACAGAAGTCATCCCTGTTGGCAACCTGGGTTGCTCCAGTAATACCTGACTCCTGGCTCATTGATTCTCTTCATCGTTCACTTTAAAGAATAAACAACAAAAACAACAACAAAGTAAACTCAACAATAAGCAAACACCAACTAAGGAGCCTGAGATTTAAAATGAGTGAAACGCTTTAAACTATCTCCATAGATACTGGTTTGGGGGTTTCCTTGGGGAAACACTAACAACCTTGCCACCTCCTCAAGTACCAATTTACCCAAGGCCAAACACAGTGGAATCCTGTGATGTGTAGGAATGTGAAAGCATGCTAGCGAGGCCCTCCTCTGCAAAACTGTGTTGTCACACACACTTTATTTATATTCAAGAATTTTCCTCGTAGTTACATTTTTGCTTTTGTCCGTGCTTAGATTATCTTTAGCACCTTACGTTTTTGCCCTTGTCCATATCTACATTATCTTTAAGGTACTACCTAGACGGTGGGCTTTTATTAAGCTAGCCTACTGGAGGTGGGTGAAAAGTAGTACCATAAAATGTCTTCAGGTCTCAGATGCACTCAGAAAAATTCAAGTCTCCTTTGGTGAGAGTGCAACCCTGTAGGAGCGAGTGGACACGTGGTGGGCAAGAAACAAATTTAGGTCTGGTCCTAAAGCGTCTTTCCACTGCTGCGATTTTTGTTTTCTGATTACCAAAATAATATAGGCTTATTGTAAAACAAATTGTAAAATTTGGAGAAAAGGGAAACAACTCATCATCAGTGTGATTTTTTGGATGTGAGACGTTCCCTCCGGAAAAGCGATGGAGAGAGGATGCACTGGGTCTCTGGCCCACGACACTGGCCGACGACGGAGTACCCCCTGCCTGGTTGATTCAACCGGGGTTCGGAAGACCGCCCAAGGGCCCTGGACGCAGGGCTATCCCCCCCGGCACTCCCATTCGGCCACCTGCGCGGTGACTTGGCGCCTTCCCCGGCGTAGCTCCCGGACTCCGTCACCCCCAATTCCCACCGCTCCTCTACGCAGAGACCCAACCCAGGCACCTTCCCCCGCAAGTGTCCACCGACTGAAAATAGATCCCGAGTCGGCCCCCAAACCGCCCCCCCCCTTTCAAGTCCTCCCCTTTAAAGGGAGCCACCGGGTGACGCCGGGGGAGTTTGCGGAAGCGCCAACCGCGTTGGGGCCTTGGGCGGATCCCGTGATTGGAACTGGCTCCGCCCCCGGGTCCTCTTCCCCCATTGTGTGAGCGGCTCGGGCCAAGGCCCCGCCCCCTCGCCACCTCCCTCCGGAGGCCCAACCCCTCCCCTTTTTTTCACCCCCCCTTGGCTCATTTCCGGCCGCCGCTGCTACCGCTAGCCTGTAAGGAGGATTCGGCAGAGGGAAGAAACAACAGCCGCCATCTTGTTTGTGTGCTAGGCTGGGGGGGAGAGAGGGCGAGAGGGAGCGGGCGAGAGTGGGCAAGCGGGACGCCGGGCGGAGTGCGGACTGCGGGAGCCAGAGTGCGGAGGCGAGCCGGGCCGGAGACAGGCGGCAGGGGCCGAGACAGTGGCAGGGGGCCCGGGGCGCACGGGCTGAGGCGACCCCTAGCCCCCTCCCGTCCGCACACACCCCCACCGCGGCCCGGCAGCCGGGCCGGCGTCGACGCCTAGGGGGGACCATTACATAACCCCGCGCCCCGCGGCGCCTTCGCCCGCCGCCGAGGGCGGCCCCGAGCGGAGCCCCGGGGGGCGGGCGCTCCCGGCACCTGGCCGCCGGGGGTGGGGGCCGTAGCGGCGGCCGTATTTATTTCTGTGCCGCGGGAGAGGAGGGCGAAGGAGAGCGCGGCGCGAGGAGAGGCCGCCTGCGCCGCCCGGCGGAGCGGGGCCTCCTCGGTGGGCTCGGC